CAATTGACATCGTGTTTAACATTTGAGTAACCTCGATTGATTACAAAAGCAAGAAGATTTCTGAAAGGCATATGAAGTTTTTTAAGGACCCGCGACGAAAATGACCGTTATAAGGAAATTAGATGACATAATCGTAGTATTTTCAAAATTATTTGTAGTTTGTTCTAATATAAAGTTTCTATATTCAATTCATGCACTTCAAGCAATCCAATCTGAGCGTTTTATCTCAGGTGAATTGTGTTACGAGTGTTGCACATATCGGTTATATTCTATTCATGTCCGTACTGAGTACTATGGCGTTAAAACCTGCTCTGCTTTGAGGAACGTAGTCATAGCACACTGAAATGCTATGGAAAGTAAAACTCATCAAAGTCTAGTATTCAAGTAGACAAATGAGGGAAATAGAAGTGAGGAACAGAAGTTGGCTTCTTTAGAAATCTTTTTCAAGACAAAAATGTTCGAAATGTGAAAGTCTAAATATCGCTAGCCTAACCCGCATCTAATAATGAGTATCGCCAACTTAATCCGCGTCTAATAACTGAATACAACTAGATTAACTCGTGCTGATAGCTGAGTATCGATAGCCTGATAGCCTAATAGCCTAATACTGAGTATCTGCTGGCGTAGCCCGCCAACAGATACTCATCTAATAACTGAGTGTTGCAATTCGGGAATATAAAATCGATTATTAAGAAATTTCTGGAAGCAAGGCTGCTGAGAATACTGTAAGTGCAAACGCATAGGATGAAGCTAGCGGGAAGGGATGACGTTCGCCCACTGGTGCAACAAGTTTTCGTCCTGTAATGATTCATTTCCAATCGATATTCAAATTTCTTGTTCAGATTGTTGTAGACTGAAAGTCATCTTACTTTCAGCTCATTATTTCGCAATTGCAAGCTTTTGTGCGGTTTATTCGTCCAGTTGCTTTGGATTTTCGAGAGTTCTTGGGTAAATCTTCGCTTGTTGATAATATTTTTTCATAAATCGAAGTTTGTTTAAAGCCTTCAGAATGTTAAAATTTTTTGAAGAGAAGTTTTAAGTTGTTAGAGTATTTTTTTAAACTTCTTTCTTAATTCTCGAGAAAATTGTAAGCATGCACACCCATCTAGTGCGGTGCGAAAATGTATGCACAAAAAAAGAAATTTCCACTTAAAAAATTTAAATATAAGATTAAAAGACAATGTATCATTTGATTTTTGCTGGATTTAAAAATTAAATTGATAAAGAGAAAAGAAAGCAGTTTCTTAATTACCTCCCGTACTTGGGATTCCTTGTAATCCATCAAAATGGATAGGTTTGTGACTATACAAACACTTCGTTTTGCTAGTTATGTGAAGTTCGCTCCGGAGCCAACACAACGTATTCTTCTTAGCGATGAGATTTTTTGAGACGAAACAGACTTAGAATGCAAGTAGAATATGTGAGAACGGAAGATTGATTAGTCGACGTAATTGAATATACAGGGTATGACAGATTCAGTAAAGAACTTTGATTTTGATTCTGTTTTAAAATACAAAAGTAAAAAACTACCCTCTAAGGCAATTCATACTCCGTTTGCGTCGCTGTGGTTTACGATCAAGGGTCAACGCATTAACGAAGGTTCACAATGTTAGCTTTCCAAGTATTTTTTACGCCTTAGCAACTTAGTCTTTAGGCCATCGACGATCTTTTCATTACTAGAAGAGCCGTAAAGTTCCGATAAAGCATTAACGGTGCAGCTGCTGATTGAATTGCCAGTGACTACAGCTTTCAATCGTTTGAAAGTGTAACTTTCCGAATTACTTCCTTTAAGTACATTGAACAGTCAAAAGTCCTAGAACATTAGCTCGAACTTAGTCCACATTTAACTAGCATATGAATCTCAATTGGTTCTCATTATCACCGTTCGTAAAATCAATGATCAAGAAATCATTGAAATAAATCTTGTTTGTATTCATTTCAGATGTAACTACTTTCACAAACTGGATCATACTATGAAATAAGCAGTTATCCTCTCTCTCCCTCCCTTTCTCTTTTTCTACTTTTTCTACCTTTTTCTTTTTCTTCCTCCTCAAATGCATAATAGCCATACAAGTAGCTGTAGACCCATATAGGTTCATTTCATTCGTTCATCGATTTGAGTAAGCGCTGCAAAATCTCATATATCAGGTCTCAAACAGAAGTATACTGTTATTTTTGGCGGTATGCCAAAAATGCCGAGAGTAGATAAGTTTTTTATATGTTGGTGCATAAATTAGGTGGCGTACGGGAAGAAGAGTGAGGTGGAGGAGTGGTGATTCTACAGAGAGAGAGTTGGTTGTTTATCATGAGTTGATGGAGTTTCAATCAAGCCGGTCCTGCAAGGACTGCCTTGCTTGGATGAAATGCGTTTTGTAATTACCAAATTTTTTACTGAATGAATTTATATTATTCCTTCGCTGTTTTGGTTTCAGTTCAAGATAATGTTTATCTTCAGATGACGATTTTTGTTACATTTTGGTGGAATTCTAAACTGTTATTGAGCTTTTGAGGACAATATTCTTATAAAATTTAGAATTAAAGCTTCGTGGGTAAACTTTGTTGAAAAGCGCAGTCATGTCGGATACCATCGAGGAAAAGGAGACGCGCACAGAAGAACACCAAACGGAGGAGGCATGGAAAGCCGGTGGGTCTTATTCTTATCATAATTACGTATCGTATTATTTCACCAACATATCCAACTTCGTAATCTTTAGATAATAAGGATTCCTCGGATAACAAACAGACAACGGCTCAAAACTCAGGGATATTGCAGCAGGCTTTACAAACATCCGCAGACAATATGAACAAGTTAGTGTTTTTACAATACGTCTGTCCACCAATGACTGTCTTGCTTAGCAGACAAGTGCATTTGCAATACTGTGATTTTAGAATAGTGTAGTAAGAGAATCTGACAGGTTTAATCATTCATCACTTTTTCTAATTACCTCTTTCTAATTTGAATGCTGTTGCGTGTCATATAACTTTCCTTTCATATGAGTACTTAAACCTTAGTGGTATAGACTACTACCGCACACTGTTGAGAACAATTTTCTGTTAACTGACAACAGCATTAAAATGGTTGCATTGATCAAGTTTTTCTCTGCATTTCTGTACTATAGCAGTGATTATTATAGTTAATTTTGGTCTTTTTCCTCATATCATATACACTAATACAGTGATATCTAAATTTATTTCTGTGCTTACTTTTTATGTCAGTTTTTGCCGGAATATTTTTTTACTTTTTTGACTAAATATTTGGCTTCTTTTTTTAATTAAACAGTGAAGGACCCAGAAGAAGTCTTTCTCATTCTTATAAGTTAATTCGTAGCATTTAACATATTAAAGACTATAAAAGGTTAAATTTCCTACAGGAATGGGAATGGAGACGGAGATAGTCATTTACCGAAAAAAGTTGTTATTGACGATAAAGGCGACTCAAAAGAAATCGATAATAGTACTGAAGATGCAGTTATTGGTTTATCATATCAGGTGAATATGGTTAGTTGAATACTATGGATGAAAACCCATGGGCTGCAACAGTATGTTTGGAGTGACAAGCTAATTAACAGATATTTCATTCCAGTAATTAGTGAGCGCACTGCTGCATTATTTTTTGGTTTGATATTTCTGTACCAAACGCAATGATAAGCTAAATTTGAACGGAACAACTCTATTGTTCCAGTTAACAAACAACTGGAACCAGTATCCGTCGATGAAATGAATTAAAAAAAAAAGACTGTAAATAAATATACTCGATATGAAATTGAATAGTAAGAAGTACTCTAATATTCGGTCATTGTTGGTTTCTTACTTTATCTAGTAAGGAATCTTATTTTATGAGAATGTTAATTAACCCACTGCAAGTAGCAGTCTATAGATTTATGTTTATCTGAAACATGCAAACAGGATCATAATTATGGAAGACGATCTGGAAGTGCACAAAAAAATGATGAGGAAAGTGGAGAAAAATTTCCTATCATTGGTGGACTTGCTTCTTACATCGGTATGTTTAGAATCCTTTCATACTTGTCACAGATTTTCTCAGGCAGTGGTTAATTTATCCATTGGCGATAAACAGTGAAGTAGTTGATAATGCTTCATTTAGGACATGAAGTCAGTAAAGTTCCTGTAGGCTGCCATTCTCGAGATGCAAACTCGGGACACTTTTCAAGGTAAAACACCACCTTTTTTTTTCAAAGTCAGTTAAATGGATTTTAGGCTCATGCAAAAGCAGTACTTTGAATTCAAAATCCTTTAACGAATAGGTTTGTTCAATAATGTTAAGCTTTTTTTAGAACCTGATTGATTCTTATATTGATAGAGGTTTTGAACTAATGTGAACAGTGTATTATTCCTTTAGATCACAGAATTATGGAACGCACTATCGAAAGATCTCAGAAATTGATTCGCGCACATCTGGTAGAATATATTCTGCTGTGGGAGGATGTCGAACAAAGCAGATGCGAAAGCAAGTTTTTGCAAATAAGGGAGATGAGTGACTTTTTGCTTTACTGTGCGATTATGTAATTTTATTTGCAGTTCTTACTTTTTATTGTGGCATTTTATCTAACTCAGTGTTTTAATCTTAATTATTGTTGTTAAGGCCACCAGTTTCATCCAGTGGACAATTATTTTCCCGACAAATTCCCATTACAACTACGCACAATTACCGTGCTCCTCGTCGGGGTTAGTTTTTGTTTGATAGTTTGAAAATACATTATATATGAGATTTGATTTGTCTAAACTTTTTTGACAAAACCTATGTATTCTAAAACTAAGAGTTTGTTAGAGAGTGTTTTAAACTTTTAAATCATTATTCCGATTTAATTTGAGAATATCTGGTATTTACAAGAAATGGAAGTAAGATTTACGAAGTTTTCTGTTCTTTTACCATGCCGTATATTCTAATATTTCATCACCTCATAACGGTATGAATATCTTAATCGTAATAACTCATACACTTAAGCACGATTGATTCAGCAATATTTTATATAGTAATTTATATTTTTTATTCTCAATATTTGTGGCTCATACAATTGCAATATTTTGTATAATTTAAATTGAAAATTATCTTAATAGTGTTTTCAAGGTTTAGGAGCCACTCAGATATCGGCTAATAATCAAAGTGATATACTGTTCCGTTCACGTCATTTTGTGGGCTCCAGTGGAGCATTTGCAACATCAGCACCAACGAACAAAAGATTGCTTAGACCATCGTAAGCAATTAGCGTTGTCTTTTCGTTTTAGGATATTTTAAATTTTTAGATCTTGGAAAGCCGGTAATATATCTCACAGTGAACTTATTCTTACGCAGCGTTACTAAATTCGGTTAACCAAACTGGCACATATTTAGATATCCTTCAACTCCTGCAGTATCAACTTTTCGTCAAAGCATACGTCAAATAATTCCTACTAGCAAATCGATTGCGACAACAATGCCTGCTTATGCGACAGCAGTTAATGTAACAGGTGCCGATTCCGAAACACATGCCACTGATATGAGTGTTGGTTTAGCGCCGTTCCTCGTACCATCTCGACGGCCTCGTCCAGTTGTCCGAAACCGAGGTGACATTTTTAGTTAGAGAAATTAACTTTTTTTGCTCTTGAAGACTTTGTGATCATGTTAATATTGTCTAAGAATATTTGCACTAAAATGTTACTATGGAAGGGAATTGTCGAAAATACTACGCTTTCATTATCAAAGCACTAATCTATTGCGAATGTGGAATCAGTATGATCGTTTATTATTTTAAATGAAGTGCTGAATTATGATAATGATTCAGGTGTACGTCACCATGACCATACACTTTAAACCCAAATTGCGCAATTATTACCTCCTTAAAGGGAGAGTATATTTAAGCGACTAAACCTTTCTATTCAATTATCCTAGTAGTATGTTATGATGGGCTTTGAAATGAATTCCTTAAACACAAGACTTAAATGTATTTGTTGTAGCGCGAGTATCACGTGAGCCAGATAAAGGAACAGAATTGTTAGTGCAGAAATCTGTATCCAGTGACCCTCAGGTGAACTTAATTTTGGAACTTCTTCCTAATACAGCATTTCTTAGTACTTTATTTACATCCAACTCAGATTGATCGTAGCGATGAATAGTATATAATGGCATCAGTTGTTCAGATAGACAATACAATTCACGATGAAGGGCAGTCTAACATCGGTATTGCTCCCCGACAACGTCTTCCAAAAAACATAGGTCGTAATAGTGGAGTTATCAAACAACAGTATATCATGGCGGAACCTCTTGAACCTTGTCATGTTCCTCATATTCAGCATACTGCACAGGTCGAACTTATATTTAATTCTTTTGAATTTTCCGTTGTTTTTTAGTCAACCAGTTTCTAAAAATTTTACAATCATAGAAGATTTTATCTCACTAATACAAAACAAAACTTCCGATAATCCATGATAGCTTTTTCATGGATTATCGGAAGTTTTATTAAAGTGTTTTATGATAAACAATAAACATTTTCCTAGCCTTTTTTAGAGATAAAATATCAGGTCTTATATTGGACTCCTGTTAAACTGTTAACTAATTAATCGGGAACATGGGAACTAATTTTGATTTTTTACAGCGTGTAGTTCCAAATGCTGATTCAGTGACAAGCATGGTTGTTGATGAAAAGTTGTCACCGAAGACTCTTCAAAATTCCTCTGCAGCCGTTCACTGTAAAGAAGAGCAGGAAGCATCTTCACAAGTAAGTAATAAATTGGCATCTCAAAATCTCCGCTTCTTATGACACCGTAATCTAGTAATTGCTAATTGCAATGGGTTTTGTATTTGTATATTCTCATCTCTCCATTCATGATACTTGTGGTTTCCCATGCTTTTTAGTCCTTTCTACATGAAGTTGTTATAATAGCTAAACTGGATTTCATGATAATAAGGAATCTAAGAAATCCAGTGATTTTCCTGATTAAATTTTTCATCGGCAGAGTTTCAGTTCAAGATAAATTTCATGGTTTTCTATTCTAGTTTAACAAAACAGGTTTACTACATTATTGCCTACCTAGCACTCCTATATGGGCATGTCCGTAAATCTTATTTTTGAATTATTCATATTTGTGTAAGCATCGTTGAAGCAAATTAAAATGATGCAATTTAGATGGGGAAAACTGACTGTTTCTTTTTTTATTTCAGAGTCTTTCTCTTAATTCTCATGAACCGATTTATGTCAGTAATGAGGGCAGAATACATGATCGTCAACAAATTGCTCAGGCTTGTACAGCCTTTCCTCATCTTTCGCAGCAAGATATCGCAAAATATGCTGAGGATCATTGTCGAAAGTCCCAGAAGGTTGTTTTGTGAGATTACGTGGATGTTAGAATATTAGGTTGTTGCATTGTAACTCATATCAACTGTCGAAACACGACTTATTTTCGCATCTAATTAAATCTGATGTTTATTGAGGAAATCTGAACTTTCACTGTGGAAATTATTCGTCGCTCATTCTCATCAGTTTCTTACTCACTAACTCGATGAGTTCCAGATGCGACAAGCCTTGATTTTTTTTTTCACTATGTGATTTGATTAGCTCTCATATGCTTGTGTTGTCATTTTTTCGTTTATAGCCCCAAATTTGTCATTCTGAGAGCGCCGTTTTTGATAGTCCGAAGGAAATGGAGATGGATCGTGTCGCTCAACAATCTGTGACGCAACCTGTAATAAACTTTTCGGTAGCGAGTTCTTCTAAGGGACTTTCAGAGGTCTTTATCTTTATATGAGTAAATATGACTTGAAACTTCGTTCGAATCGAAAATTTTCTTTTTGCAGAACATGAATATTTACCTTTTATTGTATAGTCTTCCATTCAAATTGGAGTCGCTTTTTTCCTGTTCGCCCATTTATGAGATGTAAAATTCAGGAAATTGCTCTTCACGGACAGCAATCACTATCACCTGGGCATGTTACCAATATTTATTCCCCCATTGCTTCTCCACTTGATCAGGACCATGGATTTGATTCACGACAGCAAAAGGTAACGCAGCCAACATCAGATGAGACAGAAATGCCCGTGTTGCCTTCCAAAGACAGAACAACAAGTGATAATATTCCAGCAGCACTTGACTGTGCAGGTATTATTTAACTTTTGTCAGTTTTTTTTTCAACATAATGGATCATAGGACAATGCTAGATTTTTTTCTTTTGAACTTATCGGAACAGTTGATTTGTATGATCTGGTGTGGTTTGATGTTCAGTTTTTTCCAGTTATTTCAAAAAAAATTGATCATAAAGCTCCGGCCGAAGATATGTCGAATAGAGAGGAACCACATATTTTTAATGAAACATTGAACGAGGCTTTAGAGCAGCGAGTTTCTGTTGCGACGCATTCATCGGTTAGCGGAGCTGAGGAAGAAACGAGCGTGAATGGTATGGTTAGACTGTTTATTTTATGCGTATAATAAATGTTATAAAGTTATAAAATCTAAATATTAATAATGTAACGTGTTTTATTAGGTGTTTTGTTTCATACATTGAATTTTCAGGTAATGGTGATGAAAAAGGAACGGAAGATGAAGGTGGTCGAATCACCGAAACAATCGCTGGTGTAGATTCGCTATCAAACAACAATAGTGAAGATGATTGGGAAGAAGAATACACGACCCGTTGTTATTGTGGCTTGAATCATAACGACGAATTCATGATACAGTGTGATGTGTGCAAGTAACTTTTATGGAAAATTTGCTTTGGTAACATCATCACCTGTGGTTTGGAAAACGAGGGTGACGTGGGTCTCAAATTGTATATTTAACAAATCTCTTATTTCTGGATTTTGATTTCAAATGATAGATTATTATTAACCTAAAATCCGCAAAGAATATTGTAAAAACCTAATTCATGTTTCAGTGTATGGCAACACGGCAGGTGTATGGACATTGATCGACGTCGAGTACCAGATACTTACCAATGTGAAGAATGTAATCCACGTCAATTGAAACTTAGCAAAACTCAGGCACGGGAGATGCAGTTAAAAGTGCTTGCTCGACAGCGCAGAGAAAAGGAAAGAAAACGTCGCCAAAGAGCTAAAGAACCCTTTAAAAAGAAAATTCGGGAAAAATCAGTAGGTTTGAAAGTCATTATTAGTTTAAATCTTGATGAAGCTACAGTTTTGTGAACATAGTGAAATAACTTACGTGTAATTGCAGTTACTTGTCCAAGTCTAAGTGAGTTAAGATATAAATATAAAATGAAATGAATTGAGGTTTATGAGGTATGACTCAAATTATGAAGGTTTGTTTGATCTACAAGATTTTCAGAGAGAAAAGAAGAAAAGGAAAGCAAGAAGAAATTTATCGAAAGATTATGTCGAATGTTTCAAGTATGAATATACAAGATCTGTCATGGCATTTTCACGCAAACACGAAGACACGGTAGATCTTGTTTGTCATTTTCTTAACCGGTACATTAGATTTTTAAAGTTATCTTAGCTTTATTTTGTGAAATTTTATCTAAAAATTAATTCTCTTGGAATGAATTCAACATTAATAAGGAGCCGAAAGAAGTAATTTTATCTTACATTTAAGCTTAAATTATTTTAGGGTGATCCTGCGGTATTGAAAGCACTGCAAAATGGCGATGGTGTGAGTGTTATGTATGTTACGCAGGTGTCCATGGGGCTAGTTTCGACACGACTATACCATGGTGATGAACCGGTAATATATATTTGTGGGCGTGTGTCGCTTCCTCATGAATGCTGTGGTCGAGAAGAACCAGGATCAATCATACCTTATGTCATTTTATATAGGTGATTTTTCTGTTTTGAACAATAGTACTTAAAATTATCAAAATGTGAAAATAAAACTATATCATTTTATCGATAACATGTTTGGTGATGGGTTATGAAAAGGAAGTCATTTTCATAACCCCATCACCAAACATTGGGTATTTTGAGATAGTTTTCGGTAGAAATGTCAGTGAGTGCTGAAAAAGGAACCAAATAGTAAAATTATGTTGTTTTGGATTTATTCCATCATGCGGTATTTTGATAAGACCTGAATATTATTCATTTTTAGTGATATAGTGGTTGAAGAAAACAGAGAACCTACACCAATTTGTATTGATGCTCGTCGGTTCGGTTCTAAAGCACGATTTGCGCGTGCATCTTGTCGACCAAACATCAAGTTGCAACATTTCTTTTTAAAAGGCAAGCTCCATATCATCGGCATTGCCACTGGAAACATCGAACGTGGTGAAGAGGTTAACATTTATGATTTTTCGTTATAAATTTGTTTTGAATTCATTTTCAAGGAGTTTTTGCATTTTTCAGTAGACGAAGAAACTGATGTGTTTCTATTTCCTGCGAACTTTGCGGAAACGACAAGGGATGGGAACACTTCGGGCAAAAGAAATCAAATCTTAAGTATTTAAGTTGATAGCTAGTATGTGGTTCCACTATTTTATTTGGTTTAATTTAGATTACTCTTCCTTTTGATGCGGATTACTTCTTGTCAAAGACGAAACTTGTTTGCGCATGTTCAGCGGATGACGAAGATGATGGCACCGTGGATTGTTTAATCCGTAATTTTAATCGATCGCTTGAAGAGAGACAAAATCGAGTCAGCGCTATTGTTGTAAGTCATTTAAGTAATAGAACAATGAAATTTATCTCGGTTTTCTCGTGTTTGGACTTATAAAGGTGTAAGATATATTGCCAAAAAATATGGTGGAGGGAAGTGTTTCAACTTTTTCATTGCAGTGTTTTTTGATCACTTTAATTTGAATTACTCGACTGCTTATCAAAAAGAACCGGCAAATGTTATGGGTTTTTTTGCTATTGATTTTTCTTGCTAATCAGATGCAATTCTGATTGCATCCATTGCTGCGAAGTTCTGTGTTTGTTGTATAAGCTATGATAAGTATAACTGATTGCAAAACCTGACATTCTAATTTCTGTGAATGCTTTATTCTTTATCAGAATAATATACATAAAATTAAAATTTGCAGGCTCTAAACACAGTTTTAAATCCAAAGGTAAATGTTGATACTACCTCGAAAGATTATGTCAGAAAACAGTGTATGGAACTGGAGATCGCAAAAGTTCAGTCGGATTTGAAGTCTAAAAATGTTACAAGTGGATCTCGACATTCTCCTATAACATTTTCATCGAAAACAATTGCATCTGATTATAGTAACGAAGCTAATACAGTCGAAACAGCAACAGCTGTAACACCTACTACAGAAGATGAGAATGCGATTAATAAAAATGTATTACCAGACAGCTCAGTTAAGATGTACGTCTTTTACCAGTGAGATTTTCAAATAATTACTATTTTGTAAGGCACTGAAAAATGCTGTATGTGAGTGAATTATTTTTCAGAAAAATGTAGATTGGATATAAGTAATTTCTTGAATGAAGATAATCATAAAAAAAAATGATTTTCTTTCTGCTTTGCAGTCGATCCTGTACTCGAACTACCGGAAATGGTTCTTCAAGAAAAGCTCAGAGTAAGCTGCCAAAAATATCTCTCAATACTTCATCACATAAGAAAAAAGGTGGCATCAAATTACGCCATCGTGGAGCAGCTGGCTGTAGAACTGTCGAAACAGAACAAGAAGCATGCATAAATGAACTTCAACCAAAGGCGAAAACGTTTGTTGTTTTTCTAAGAAAAATTATTAATTTGGTATGCAAAATTATATCCATAAAATGATATTGCAACTCAATTGCTGAATTTAGCTGGTTATTCTTATGGAAGTTCTTAAAGTTCTAGAATTTTTTTTCCAGTGGAGTTATTTTTATCATCAAGGACACCGCTGATGTTGATAGCTCACTGAAAAAAGTAGCATGTCCAACTGACGAAACAAGTGTACATGTGCAAACAGAGGTATATTTTTTCATTTTGGTTGTGCACTATTATCAATGATGTTTTGAAGTTTCTTAAAGATAGCTGATATTGATACAAAACATTTTTTTAGGAACAGAATGAACAGAAGTGCGAAGGACAGTCCGTAGAAGCGAATGAGGTTATGATGGAAAAATTGAGAACACATACAGAAGTTGAAATAAGAATTGAAAATGTACAGAAATCAGATGCAGTAGATGCAAGACCGGTTGTTAAGAAGAATGCTGGTAGACCAAGAAAAAAACAGCGAGCTTCAGTTGATGCGAAAGTAATTGATTCAGTTGGCTGGACAGGGAAAAATGAAGGAAATGAACACTTGGCCGCTTCTGATAGGTCAACGAAGATACATCATAAAAGAAGTGGTCTGGTGGAAGAGGTTGAAAGCATGAACTATATGCTTCCCGAAGAGCGCAATAAAGCAATGGCAAGTTTTTTATTATGACTTATGTCATATGGATATCATTAGATTGATAAAAACATAGTTTTGGGATGATATATCTTATTGATCCCTTGTTGAGCTCGTTTTTCAAGTTCTTTTACGACAACTCTTTGTTCCAGTCGCGAGAAGAACGTAAAGTACTGCAAGAGCTTGCACTGTTCGAACGCATGCACCAGCGCGAAGCGAAAAGGCAACGACATGTAGTCTCGCGTGGATCAGGAAGTACTGGAAGTGCTTGCTCTCGTACTTCATCCACCAATGGCCCACAGCCGGAGTCTAAAAAGGTTGCAAAGATTGTAGACGGTGCAAATAATGGAAGAAATACAAAAAGTCAACAGCGAAACGAGTGAGTTTTACATGAAAGCTTGTATTATTTAATACTATCTATCCAGAGTTATTGTATGAATAAAAACATTATACAGGATTGGCATGAAGACGAAAAATATGAAACGCCGACGACGTGTATCAAGCTCAGAATGCTCTTCAACAGTAGCGATGAAACGAAGTCGTACCATGAGCGAAGATGTAAAATCTGAAGCAGAGCAAAGTTTGTTTGTTTTATTTTTCAATCCGATATTGTGTGTTGGCAAAAGTTACATCTGTGATAGTTGCACTAGCTTGCAAAGTTATAGCTAAAAGCAGAAAATTTTGAGTTCTAAAATCATTAATATTATTCGTATAATTTTTTATCAGCTATTAAGGGAAGAGCTATCGTAGTGTTTTGTAGGTCACCTATTTATTTATTTTTTAAGTTTTATGCCATGCTTCACTGCAGGTCTAAATGACATGATTAAAAAGGCAGTATCATTTTCACGTTTTGCTCAATGCTTCACTATTGAACCAAAGTCAGAATCTAAAATGAAAGGAAACATAAAAGGTATGGAATTTTACTTGTATTGATAGTTATTATTGCGGCATGTTTTTGATTAAAAGAATACACTTGTTTTTGCTTCTGGTTTCTTCCTTCGTCAACTATCTTCTTGTGATGGAAGTAGTATTTTCATGATTCATCAGTTAAAACAATCATCTTTCCATATAATTGCAATACGCAGTAGGTGTTTATTTATAGAAAGTTTTGAATTTTTTCATTGTTTTCGAATTTTACCCCAGCCACTGCTCGAAAATGAAACAATGAAAACAAGAGATAAGTTTTTGTTTAGGATAAGACATACAAATTGATTTTGCAAGTTTGGAATCCTATGAAAATGTTTTAAGCATTTTAAATTACAGGTGTGACTGGAAAGGTAGAACCACAAGAGTTAGAAGTGACCACTGATAATACGGCTTTCAGTTGCAAAGATTCTTCTTTGCCATGTGCAGAACAAGAAATGCAAGACACAGGTTCCATTCAGCAGTGCGACAGTACGACTATCTGCCCTCCCAGTGAGGATCATATGAAAGACGAGGTTGGCGCTAATTTTTTTGTAACTTCCATTGGGTAGTGCTTGCTCAATTTTTTCCCCTTTTTTAATGTAATAAGAAGACAAGATTTTTTAGATAGAACCGCTACTGAAAAGAAAGCGTGAAAGTCATGATAAAGGTGTATCAGGTATGCCAGACAAAGCTTCATACAGTTCGAGTTTCAGAAATACTGCAGTATTTGCTGTTAAACCAGGCAAATTATTCATGTACTTCACTTTACAAAAATTCGTATCTCATTGGTTGTTTTTGTGGTTAAGATTGAAGATTACACATTTTCGGCAGGATTAGCCTTTAGCATAATTTTTTTTTTTCGAGATAAAGCTATTTATTTGGTTTATTACAGGAGAACTTCGTGCTTTCTTCCATAAGGTGATTGAAACTGAGGCAGCTTGTGAACCATCAGACTTCTCTCTGGATTTGTTGGAGGGAGTTCAGCTCCCCTCAACTTCTTTACGTGCTGAATGTGGTAAAAATCAAATGAAGGTTGCAGAAGCTCCTAAAAAAAAGATGTCACTAGACGAATATAAAAGAAGAAAGAGCTCGAAAACCACTGTGGATTCGGAGAAGTAAATTCTTTTACATTAAGAAATGACAAACTTTGAAGGGTTAACAAGATAGTGATTAAAGCTGTCGTGGTCAAAGAAATAAAATGTTCAGTTGCATGCATACCGCACCATTTTTCTTTATTTTCAAATACTATGTTTTGCATTTTCACTTTCGGATGTGGGAAGAATAATTTATCTTTGATTAATCGTCATATCTCTCATATTACCTATCTTAAATTGGTGCAACCTATTTCGCTTATAAAAAGGTAGATTCTGCTTAATTTTTTGTAAATTCCCAGTAATTTACATTCCTTAATTTGTTGAGGTAATAATAACTCTCAAGATCCGGTGGTTTTTTCTATCAGTCGTTTTTCTCCTCAACTAAGCTTATTTGCATCTTAAAGATTTTTGTAATGAAGCGATTTCAAAAGATTTCTATGCATACAACACGTTAACACAATATAATTCTGTAGGACATCTTCATTTGCTATCGAAAAGAAAGCAGAAGACAGTGAACACAAGGAAATATCATTATCTCGTTCTTTCATTCCGTTAATGAATGCCAGTGAAAGTGTTGGGAAGCGCACATCACTTCGTCTTGGCGTCCTTCCTGATCCTGTACAGCTGCGTGCAACTCCAACACTTTCAATTGATGACCTGAAACGTCGTATTTATCGGCGAACGACACCATCAACTATACTAACTTCAAATACTGATGGTATTTCACCTTCTTTTATGGTGCAGAAGAACGTTTCACATACCTCACCAGGACAGTGCTCTGAGGTGAGTGATATAATCGAATGAGACATTTATATTCTGTGATATTTAGACATTAAACTGGCAGATGTAATCGAATAATATCTTGTCTTTACTTTTCGATACGTTTCCTACGTACTACTTTCTGCGCTTTGTTTTAGCAGTGTTATTTTAGGATAACTGATCATCACTTGTTCAAAAACTGTTTAATATTATTAAAAAAAGTGACTTTAACTTTCTCATAAAAATATCTATCTTATTTAAAGCTAGGAATTCAAGATTTTGCAGATAGGTAGAGCTGTTCGTGAAGGCATATAGAAAAAATAGCTGATTTCTCGTTTTCTGACAATGCATATTTCTTGCGGTTTCTTGAGCTCATGTTTAAAACGTCTTGCTTTTTTTCTTTCATTATTGGGTCCTGATTCCTTTGTAATTTCATTCTGCACTTGTATCTGGTTAAACTACAGAATGCTGTAACCAGATACAGAAACTTTGGATTAGGGGGACCAAAAAATCACTCTTGTTGCAACCTTCTATATTTTTTATACCTAAATAATTTGAATTCCAAAGTTTGAATATACACGTTTTTTTTTCCAGTAATATACCAAATGCATTTTTCATTTAATTTCCTTCTGAAAATAAACCGATGTCGACTTCCTAATTTGTGCAAAGATTTCAGGAAGGACCAGCTTCATTTGTATCGTCATCCTCGTCATCATTATGGCAAAGAGAACCATCTTCAACCGTACCTTCGAATAAAGATAAAAGACTCCCACTCGAGGAGCGATTACGCTTGGTACTTGGCTGTGGTGAGGGATATGCTGATAGGTACAGTTCATCTGCATCTCCACCAGCTGTCCCTCCACCACCTCCACCGCCTCCCCCTCCTGTTCCTATTAAGAACCCAGGTCAGTATTCGAATTGTGAGGTTGCTATTGCGAAAATTTCATTTGTACAGTGATTTAACTTATTTAAATGTTTTTAGCTCTTCATTATAAGTGACTTATTTGTACTTTCCAGAAATACTAAAACTGAAGTGCGATTTCTCTGGCGACGTTCATTCTGATATTCCCCTACCACCACCACCACCACCGGCGACTACTCCATCTTGCAGTCAACTTGATCAACGTTCATATGACGCACATGCGTCGGGACCTCGTAGAGGCTGAAATTTATCTCCGTTGTGAGTCATTCGCATTATAGTAGCGTTTGTTTGTAAGTACAGTTTCTGTCTATAGACGAATTCTAAGGTATTTAAGAACTTCTGATCTGAATTATCGCGAATGACACCTTTTTTCAGCAATCTGATGTATCACCGGGTTATAAACTGTGTTTTTTGAATATACGCTCACAGATATACTCTCTACCTCTTGGACACATTGGTATCTTATTCTGCTTTCCGGTTTATATAATCATTGATATCAAAGTGCTAACAGTTTTTTTGTTCGAAATAGATAATTTATGGAAATGTGTTGCAGTTTTTGAATTGGTTTTTTTAATAACTTCGTTAGCCAACTCTTTTGTTATTTATTTTAAGGATAAGAAATTAGTTATATCAGGTTCTGTTATGTTCATCTCCACTCATCCATTATTCTTACCGCTTTTTTGTGAATTAGTTTATTTTTTAACGTATCATCGGTTTTTACCATCTGTCATTATTCTTTAATTATGATTAATATTTTGATCATTTGATCAGTTGTGTTTCTGAATTGTGCATACCTTTTTCTCTTCTTGATTTATGCATTGGGGTGTTAAGTACTTGTTCTTACTCAGGTATGTAGAAGGGCTTTGTGAATTGTGGCTATTGTTCTATTCAGTGGCTGCTAGTGTTTGCAGTATGGGTAAGCCCTTCTGTATTTTATGGGTGAATTGCGAATTTCAAGTTCATGATATTTTAATTGCTGATCTCTTTATGCTTTTTTTTTCAGCGTGCGGATTCATTCCCTTTCTCCTTGCAGTTTTGTCTTCATCTCCCCTCCTTTCTATTTCTTGAAACTGTAATCATCCGTAAGAAGTTGATGGGTCTGTTATGTCATCCCAATTTTTTTGATAACTGCAGTCGTATTTAAATAATCAGTATTGTATTGCATTTGCATTACATACACAGCCCTCAATCACTGCTATACTTGTTAAGTTCTTCCTTTTCCATTGTTTTAGTTCAACATTTCAAGTATTTGCGTTGAAGAAGACATTTTAATTATTTTGAATGTCCTTTATTTATTGTTCAAGTGAGTTGAGAATAATATCTTGTTTATCGTTGTAACTAAAGAGATTGTCTTTATTTAAGCTTTTTGTTGTGAGATATGTATCATATGATATTTGATTTGTAATCACAAGTCATCTCGTCTTCCTTTTGTTGTAATACCTTATGCGTTGTATATACAGAAGTTTTGTTCGCTTTAAGTGAACCGTGCGCATTAGTATTATAACTTTCAACTTTTTAAGGCGGGATAGGGTAAACTGTGAATTTCGTTGTACAAAAATCAATGTGCAGAGTTTTTTACTTAGGTTATAGCTGGATCTATAAGATACTGATGAGCGTAGCCTTATTTTCACTTCTCTGTACCCTATGCGGTCACTTAAAATGTCCCCAGTTCTTTAGACACTCACTGCCCCCTTAAAAATAATGTGAAGCGCCGTATGATGTTGCTGATTAAGTCTTAAAGTTCAGCATCTTTTAATTTTGCGGTGCCTTTTATTTGTCATTAATCATGGTTTGTTTGTTTTCCATATTTGTTTCTGTATTACAAAGCGATTGACGCCTATTAAAGTACTACTATATTCCTTATATCTGTGAGACGTTAAAGGCATTTATGTGCTACACTTTTTTTTTCGGTTTTCTGTCTGTCTATGCTTACGACATGGCAGAAATTGCGATTCGGATAGGAATAATAGAGTTAAGTTCTCCGTAAGATAGTAAAAGAAATGCCTTCAAATAATCGTTGTTGCCTTTTGAGTTATTAGTTACTGATTTGTCGTAGTTATTAGACATTATGAGTTACTCAAATACGCACTGTTAAATTACTTTTGGTGAAATGAAATGGTAAGCGAAGGCTATGACGCTTATTCATCGTGGTTGATGTTTACTCCTGAAAGGAGTAACGGTGATTCATGAAGTTGAAGAAATCTTTTACGATGATATCTTTTTTCCTGAGCTATCTGACTACAGAAATCCTGGATTTAAGTGTGGATTTCTGGCGGGTTGAACCTTTGCTTTCTACGAGAAATGGTTTATTTTCTGCTGAGAGCCTACACCGTATATGTTTCACGCCATGAAATTTCTTAGCGGAAGCGTTTTCTTAGCATTGTTTCAAAAAAAAACAATTAAAGCATCTTAAATCTGCGTTTTCTTTCGTCAATAATTTGCCTTATTTGGATCCCCTTTATGAGAAAAGTGTATTGTAGAGTTTTCGTTCGCTGGAATTTGATGGGAAGGAATTTTCACCAAGGCGTTGTTATGATCCAGTTTTATTTGTTTAGTTAGTTGAGCTCTTATCCTCATTCAATCACCCATGAAAGTAGTGGGTTTGAAATGCATGTATGAGAACAAGAGTGAGAGTTGTTATGGATAAGCTTACGGCTCGTCTGATTGTTGCATTTTGAAAACATATCACTTTTAAGTGGAGGTTAAGTATGGGAATTGGAGCACAGACTGGGATATAATTCATTTGAGGAAACGATTTCAAATTATTTGTGAATTTGTTTATTTCTTCATATTTGTTCTAGAAAAAAAGTACAAAATCAAAAAAGGGATTAGGGCAGTACATTGCATGTGCTTTCTTAATTCCTTTGTTATTTAAATAGCTTATCCTCTGTTTTCTATCCATATGCCCCCCACTGTTCATCATTTTTTCCTTTATCATTATTGTTAATCAAGGTTTTTTGTGGTTTGAGGTGATGTTTCATTTTGCAGCGAAATCCTTTAATGCCAGGACGGCTAGAACTCCATGAATTTGATTTTAATTAATACATGAATACATGTCGATATAGCAAAACATGTCTTTCAAAAGAAATGCGTTCAACTATTTCGATGTTTTTGGGTTAAGTAGACATTGAGATATGCTCTAGCAAGGTTTAAAGTTTCTACAAAACTAGACCTGAATACTTGAGTAGAGCATATTAGATGAAAGAGTAATATAATATCATCATGCACAAATATGT